CAAGAAAATAATGTATAAAAAAGTTAAATCCCCAAAGAAATTATGTTTAACTTTTGAAAATAATAACACTAAAAAGTTTCTGTCAGAATAAATTATATGAAACTTGTAGGCAGAATATTTTGAAAATTTCATGATTTAGTTTTAAAATATCAATCAAAAATAGTGAACATGAAAGTTGTTCTTATTAAACACAAAACTTGAGTTAATCAGATAATTTGTTTACTAAGTGATTTTGCTGATTAAAATAGTGGAAATAAAATAAGTGTTCTAATCAAATTCCACTTTCAAAAGTAACACCTGAAACTTTAGCCTGCCCTTTGGAATAACTTACATGCATGGTATCAGCAAATTGATTTTTTAAAAAATATGAGCTTTACTATGTTTTTACAAAACTATCATACAAAATTATTGTTACACTCTTCTGACTGTGTGAACATTTCCTTAAAAATAAAGTTCAGGGGCCGGGGAGATGGCTCAGTGAAATAAGCGCTTCCCTGGCAAGCGCAAGGGCCTGAGTTCAATCCCCGGTTCCGCCAAAAAAAATAAAATAAAAATAAAGTTCAGATAGAATTTCTTATGCTATTCCAGTGTATGAGTACTGTACTATAGAAAAACCTTTTCCACTGCAATTCTCTCCAATGGGAAAACAGAAAATGCCTTTTTATAGTAAGTTCAACAACAATATAGTTTTCTATTACATGATTCACAACCAATCTTTCAAAGTCACTTTTGACCAATGTAATATTTGTGAATGAAAATATTTATACTGTTGACAATGCAGACAAATGCACACCACAAAACACAGCACACCATTTACATTTAAAACAGCACAGTTGGAATTACGCAAATGAAAACATTTGAACTAATAGAAAAACAGTGAACAGTTTTAACTAAAGACAAGTAAATGCTAATATAGACGATTGCCATGATGGTTTGTGGCACATCATTTTATGGCCCTGTTAGTAGAACATTATATGAAATAGGGAAGCATTCTAAATTTTTTAGAAATCACTTCAAAGTGAGATTCTCCAATGATAAAACCCAAACAATATAAGAAATAATATAATGACTGGATCGCCACTTAGGTTTTACTACTTAGCAAATTTTCTTTATTAACAATTGGCAATATCTACTAATGGGACTGACTCAATTTTTATTTTTATCACTGACTGGCTTTGTAAATCATAGAAGTTAAATCATAAGCCTTTAAGTGCATCATTCACTAAAAATTAGAAGCCAGTATTCACATTTTAATTATGTAATTGCTCTATTTATAGTAACTGTAAAATGTATTTTGTGGAGGTAGAAATTAATATATAGAACTTTGCAGAATATGGGAAGGAGAATTTCTGGAATATTTTAATTCTCCATTTAAGAGGATAGTGTGTCAGTTAAGTTTATTAAAAATAGCATTTGAGCATGTGAATACTCGACCTCTAAAAATAGGAGAGATGAGAAACAAAAACAAAAAGAACACACAAGGCCATCTTTCAACTATCAGATGATAAAAATTAAAAAGAATAATGGCCCATTGCAAGGCTGTGGAGACATGGGCACCTTCACATACTGCCGAATGAAAAAGAAATTGGTCACACCTTTGCAGAAGGAGATTTAGTAATATCCGAAATAACGAGATGCATGTTTCATTTTCACTGTGTGACCCAACTACAGGAAATTTTTCTTGAAGGTGTACCTTTGACTGTCACTGAAAAATATTGAAAACAATCAACCCACATTCCTAGCAATCACTCACTGGTTGAATGAACTGTGGAATGAATGACCACACCATAAGCATTCTTTTACTAAAAAGAATTCAAGGACTTCTGTGATATTGGTAAGCACAGTGTTGAATTGGCTGTGTTAGTTAATTAATAATGGTGTTTGTGATAGATTTAAATTTCTTCAAAATTCATATTCCAAAAAAATTCATATTCTATTTTTACTATCCTTAGTAAACAGTAGTTTTAGAAACTAATGTTTTAGGTTTTATAACTATATTTCCATTCTCATAATAAATGTTTTCCTAATTTTCACAAACTTTGGTCATGCAAAACTTTCAATTTCTTTATAATAGTGGGCTATAATATGCAAAAGCTTGCATTAACTTACACTTGTTTTCTTTTCATTTTTTCCCCCTCAGTACTGGGGATAAAACCCAGGCACCTTTCACTGAGCTACAGCACCAGCCCCTTTTTTAGTTTTTTGAGACACAGTTTCACTAAGTCAGTGCTACCCAGAAGGGCCTCACACATGCAATCCCCCTGCCTCAGACTTCCAGAGTGCTGACTTACAAGTATGCACATGCCACATTGACTTTTACCTTCTTTTTGATAAGCATCCCACCAAAACCAGTCTGAAGCTTTTTTTCTGAAATAAGAGTTTCTGAAACTATCTGAACATCAGACTGAGCTTTGAATCATTAAGAGAATAGAGATGCCCTGAAAATGAATAAATCTAAGCAGTGCAGGGAAATCAGTGTTTTCCAAAAGTACTAGAGAACGTTCATTTTTTTTAAAATTCAACTTTTTGGAAAAGATTGTGAGTACTATCTAAGTTTGAGAATCTCTACTGAGCTCATGATTGCAAAATACAAAAACCAAAAAAAAAAAATCATTGTTGCTTTGGAGTCTTTGTTTAGAAGTTTCTGGTCATTATCAATAATTTATTTGTAGTTTAATTATTGGGCCAAGAGAGTCTCATCCTGAAATTTGGGTGCCCTTATGAGCAAACTAAACAGTAGGGAAGGATTCTGTTTGCTTCCTGCTGCATGCTTGAGTGGACTGCTGCCTGAATTTGGAGTCTACCCGCAGAAATTGATTCCTTCTACCGTCTATCCATGGTCCATGACTCAGCAAGGCAGTTAATGTCAGTATCTGGTTACTCTTCTGCAAAATGTGTACAGCTTTTCTTTCCACGGTGAGAAAGATCAGTGAAGATACACAGCATAAAATGTTCTTATAAACTAGTTCTGAACACAGTTTCATTAATATTTAATTTCTAATTGTGTTTCTACTTATTGTACTTTTAAAAATGTCAACTAAATGATACTGCTTATGTATATTAACGTCTCTCTGTTTGTGAACCTACTTAGATATGTATTCACCTAGCCCACCACTTCTTTGTTAGTTAAAACCGAAGATGACCTTCACTCTGGGGAGAATGCTATGCACCTTTTCATGCCAAGGTCAGCATGAGACAACTCAGGAGATTTGTGATGGAATCAGATACCGAAATCTGAAGCAGTTGGAAAATATCTCTGCTGAGGAAAAACAAGAGTTCCACACTTCTTTAAAAGGCAGATGAATAATTATATTCCATACGATTTAATATAAACATTTACATCTGTTAAACATATATGTTTCAACATTTCTGGCAGTATCAAATTTAGTTCACACACAGTTATATTATTATATATTTGCCTTATTTTCTGGTGCATATTGTGTGTTATTATTGCAGAAAACATACTAAGTGAAATCATATTTATCTTAGATAAATACATCCTGTATATTTTCAATAATGTGATAAAATTCACCACAATAATTTTAAAACTACATATGGTCGAGAAAAATGCCAAAGGGGGAAAAATAGTCTTGAAATTGGTGGTATGTTTTCTGAGCTGGAACAGAATTCTGCGTTGCTGGTGGCATTCACACCTCTCCATTGATGTTGTTAGCGATTCTTTTTCTGCTTCTGGAGTCTATAAAAGCTTAGTGTGTCAGAGTATTGCCAAGTTCATATCTAATTCCCATCATGCTTTGTGGAAAAGATTCACTAATAAGTGATATTCAGAACTACATCATTAAGTGTGCAGTCTATGTTAGTTCACAGGAGATCTTTCTCAATCTTATTTTAACTAATTTCAACCTAAAATTATGATTTCTGTACTTCCACTGCACATTTCAGGGTGAGAGCTTTAGGTTAATTTACTATCACCCAATCAGGTTCCACATTTTCTTTTGTTCTGTATTTTTAGGTTTTGTTTTTTTTCTTTCAGTACTAGGGATCAAACTCGAGAGCTTGTGCTTGCTAGGCAGCACTTACACAACTGAGCTATCTTCCCAGCTCTATTCTGTTTATTTTTAATCATTTAATTTTTTTAAAAAAATCTTTTATTTATTTGGTACGGGGTTTCACTATGTAGCTCAACTTGTAGTGAACCTGTTGTCTCAGCCTCCCCAGTGCTGGGATTACAGGAGTGTACCACATGCCCAGTTTTGGAATTTCCTTTCTCCTTAAGGCCAAATAATATTGATTGCATGCCCAGAACACATTTCAATACACTCTGTAAAGATAGGCACACATAATTTTAAAAAATAATATAAAATATTTCATGAATTTGCATTTCATTTTTGAGCAGGATCCATGCTAATCTTCTCATTGTCAATCTACTTTTAGTACTTAGTGCAAAGAAGCAAGAACATTAAATGACTTTTGCAACTGCAAAATGTGGTACCACGGATCAGATCTGGGTCCTTGTACTTGCCAGGTAGGTACTTAGAATGCTGAGCTATCTCCTTAGCCCCTACTCTGTTTTCTGATTGGTAGTTTTCACAATTTTTGATTTAGTATAGCTAGCCAGGTCCTGACTATGTGTACATACACTTACAAATGCACACATACACAGAACTAAAAATTTTAAAATAATATATTTCCTAATTATTGCAATTTCTTTATTCCATTTATCTATATTTTAAAATACAAATTACAAATTGACTATTCGACTAACCTAGATGTCTAAGAAGTATGTAGTTGCAAAAGTCACTTAAAGTTCTTGCTTTATCTGCTCTTAAGTCCTCAAATTGGTATGATAATGAGAAGATTTCCATGGATCCTGCTCAAAAATGGAATGCAAATTCATGAAATATTCTATATTATTTTTTAAAATTACTTGTGTGTCCACCTTCACAGAGTGTATTGAAATCTGTTCTGGGCATGCAGTGCAGTAGTTAGCTTTAAGAAGAAAGGAAATTCTGACACATGTTACTGTATGGCATGCCTTGAAGACAATGCTAAGTGAATGAATACCGTACAGTTCACGTGGGAGAGGTTCGTATGGTAGAACATGCACAGCATCAAAAACTAGAATAGTGATTTGCTTAGGGCTCTAGGGAGAGGCAAATGGAAAGTATTGTTCACTGTGTACAGTTTCACCCTCAGGAGATGAAAAGTAAAGGAGAATAAGGTGGTGGTTCCACAACAACATACTTACTACCACAGAACTATTTTTAGAAATGGTTTATAATGTGTGCTTTAAGTTATATATTCTTTTTTATTTTTACTTATTCATTTCATTTGTGTGTTTGGTACAGGGTTTCACTACACAGATAGTACTCATGGTGATCCTTCTGTTTTCAGCTTCCCAATTGTGTTGGGATTACAGGCATGGGCCACATGCCCGGAGTCTGTCACTGGTGTGGCAGGCCCCTGGGACAGGACCAGAGATTGAATTTTGGTCCCTGTGCTTGCCAAAGCAGGCATTTAGTTTGCTGAGCTATCTCACCAGCCCTATGTTATATGTTCTTGACCATCATTAGAAAATAAAATTTAAAAACTGCCTGAAGCAATCAAATCCCAATGATGTACTTCATAATTATAAAACCAAGGATAAAGACCAGACCCAGAATATGGGATTTTTAAGTGCTCTCCAAGTAAACCTGACACAAAGAGGTTTAGTACCCACTGTTTTCTAATGCCACCATGGCCTTTCTTAACATTGGAAACTTTTGGCTACTTCTCTGAAAAAAGTCAACAGTATGAGGCAAGATTCCTTCAAAGTCTAACTTAACCCTGATCAAAATTTCTAAATAAATATTAAAAATCAGAGGAAAAAACTTTTCCAGGACAGGCACTAAATAATTAAACTATTTATTGAAACATATATGGTCTAATACTGCTTCATATTTATGTGGTCATATATAAGGTCTTCTCTGAAGTAAAAATACCACCTTCTTTTGCTTTTTATATACTAAGCCTTTTACAGAAATTACTTAATCCTACATCAAAATATCTTAAAGATAAAAAAAAATCTTAAAGAGTCTTTACTTTTTTTCTGTATTTAAGACAAGATTTACAGGGTATACATGGTCTCACTATGTAGATCAGACTTGTGATGATCCTCCTGTCTTCAGATTCCCAAGCGCTGGGATTACAGGCAAGCACCACCATGCCCAGTCTCAATAGCAGTCTCAGTGCGCCCCAGAGGAGGGGCAGGAACAGCAGGCCAGGGATCAAATCCCTGCCACTGCACTCTGCCTAAGTAAACACTTTAGTCTGCTGAGCTACCAGGCCGGCCCGAGGCTTTACATTTTTATTTTATGGGAAAGGAAACTGAGTCATAGAAATGTCAGTACTTTGCCTGGTGTCTCATAGTTCATACATGGCAGAGATGGTGTCTCTTAGAATCCAAAAGTGTTAGTCTCTTCAAAAGAACCCTACTTTGCCTCTTGGCTTTTTCTACTCTTTCACAGCACAGTGAGAGAGACCTCATTTTTGTCACTTTAAAAATATAAAAGAACCTCAGGGAGATGACTTTATGAAGGTCACACAGTAAGTCTTTCGTGTTTTGATTCATTTTCTATCCATAAAATAGAGCTATTTTACCTCTGAGAAATACATTGAAGAAACCAAATAAAATTGAATGTCATAAAAATAATGCAAGAAGGAGTAAAACTTGATTAATAGAAAGTAGGAGGCAGATGTGGTTAATTGAAGGTTAACTAGAGGCTTCTTTTTGTTTTAACCTTTAATGTTGAACATCCTTTCAAAATAGATTGAGACAGATCCCATTTTATGTAAGTTTAGTATAATGAACACAATTAAATCTTTTTTTAGTGTTTTTTTAAAAAAAACTTAAAGTCTATCCCTGCAGATGTAGATTATATAGGAAATTGATTTAAATTTTGATAGAGGTCAGGAAAACTTTAAATGTAGTTCTTTTGTCCAAGTCTCTAATAGGGATTTATATGGTTTCTTTCTTTAAAATAAAGCACTAAGAGCAGGTCTGCTTTTCAGAGACTGATTCAAGGAGAACAGACTACAGAAAAGAGTACAGCTGATCGATATTTTATGTCCTTCCCTCTCCAAATAGAATTTTAGGCTAGAGAGAGAACTATTGACATTTTTCTACTTAAGCAGAGTATTTTCTTATATCAAGGGAAAGATATACTTATAACATAGATATTGCTCAGTAGTATTAATATTCTCAGGCATCCTCATTTAGTAGGACAAATATGAAAGGCATAGATTTTTCATGGGATCTAGTGAGACCTCTCATCTGAATAGTAAGTCTCAAGCTCTTCTTGCTTAGAAAAAATGAGATTCAACTTTCCCTTTGCAAATCGCGTGTTAGCTTCATTATTGTCCTTGCCAGACATTTACTGAAACAGAATTGAAGAACTGGAATGAGAGGGACTCAAGGCAAAATCAAAGGCATTCACATCAGACATGTTTACAGTGAGTACATTAGGGGTTTACTGGCCCGTCAACATAATAGTTTTTGTAGACTGGCAAAATATTGTTAAAAATAGGTTTCTTTGTTGAAGTTATGATTAATGCCTTTTCCAGTAGAGCACAGTTTAAAATTCTAGCCAGACTTGTACAACTTACATAAAAGTTGTGTATATAAGTATATATGCAAATATAAAGTAAAACTTTATATTTGGTTATGTACAAGCCTCTGTCTAAACCTGCAGTCTGGCAAACCTATAGCATGTGTGCCACAGTGGGCTGTTGGTATCATTAAAACCTCCAAAAGGTTTGCAGTCACTAGTATAGACACTAGAAGTAGTTGATCACCCAGGTCCAACTAGAAAGCTGGCCATTTCTTACTGTTAGAGTATTGCATTTCTTTAGTGCTCCAAAATTGCATGATGCCAATAATTGTTAGAAGAGAGGATCAGGGATGTAGCTCAGTGGTGCAGTGCCTTCCTGGAAAACTCAAGGTTCTGAGTTTGTTTGCTGGTACAACAACAGCAACAACAACAACAACAACAACGAAAGAATTTGTAGAAGCATACAGTATGATGTGTACGTGTGCTATTAAAAATCTGTATTTGCAGAAGAACTTCATTTTTTAATTACTTAGAAAGTTTGCTTCATTAACTTGGGGAAGTTATTGGTTATTGTCCTCTAGCAGTAGTGCTTAATATTAGTATA